GAGTGCTCCCTGCTCCTCCACTGAGTGCTTCCTGCTCCTTCGTTGAGGGCTCCCTGCTCCTCCACTGAGTGCTCCCTGCTCCTCCACTGAGTGCTCCCCACTCCTCTACTGAGTGCTCCCCGCTCCTCCACTGAGTACCGTGCAGGCAACTTCAGGAGCCTGGCTGAAACATGCGACTAAGTAGCTAGAATGGGAGTTCCGGCACCCAGTAAATGAGGGGTGGATTGTTGTAGCCACACACTGAGAATCCTGTAGAATTAAAGCTGGCTTTTCTTGTGGGTAAACTGAGGCATAGAATCTCATTGACAGTGGGACCTCAAAAGGAACAACAATAATGGCGTCCTTATCCCATGGCTTGCTTGACAGACACCAGGCACTGTACAAGGCACTTCCCATGGGCAGTTAATTTCCCGCTGGAAGCCTCTAAACGAAGGCACCAAGGTCACAGCTTAAAAAGCTTCCCCTGGGCCTGGTAGTGGTGGTGCACGCCTTTAAGTCCAGCACTTGGGAGGCAGAGGCAGGTGGATCTCTGTGAGTTCAAGACCAGCCTGGGTTACACAGCAAGTTCTTGGATAGCCAAGGCTACACAGAGAAACTATGTCTCGAGAAAAACCAAAAAAAAAAAAAAAAGGAAGAGGAAGAGGAGGAGGAAAAGAGGAAGGGGAGGTCAAGGAAGAAGAGGAGGAGGGGGAGGAAGAAGGGGAGGAGGAGGAGGAGAAGAGGAAGAGGAAGAAGAAGGAAGAAGGTAACAGCTTGCCCCAGGTCAACAGCCCTCAGTGAGGAGCTGGACTCTCAACCCAGCAGACCGAGCCCAGACCTCCGCTCCCAGCATTGAGAGCTGGTCTCTCCACTCTCACCTCCTCCTTCTCCCCGCCTTGTAGGTCCCTCCACTCCTCGATGGGCTGGCCAAGGTCCACAGTGTTCATGGGTACCTTCACCTCTCCAATAATGTCATGCTTAGAGAAGCGATCAAAGTCATAGATGGCCATCACCAGGGTCTTGCCTCCTAACTCCTGGTATGGCACCTGTAGGGCACAGATGGGGTCAGAAGGGGCCACGGTGGTCTGAGCACTTCTGGGGGGGGAGGGCGGGGGGATGCAGTGGGAAGAGCCCGGGCTTGGGCCTGTATTGCCCACAGGGACCAGGCCGACTTGGAAACCCATGTGTGAGATGGGAGAGAGGCCACTGCGGCCTGCTTCTGTGCCATCCTGAGCATGTCCCAGGGCCCCAGCTGGGGCTGTGGACCGGGGAAAGGTGTGCAGAACCTAGGGGCAGAGGGGGAGCCGGAGTCTTCCTTCCGGTTTCCATCACCTTGAAAGTGAAGGTCTCGTTGAAGGCGGGGTTCAGTGTCTTGCGGTGCACCTTGGTCTCGTATTTCTTCTTCTTGTCTGGGAGCAGGAAAACTTTGACGTACGGGTCTGAAGTGCCACCCATGTCCAGGGCAGGGAGTTCAGCAGCTTGCAGGACACCCACGGTGAGCTGTGGAGAAAGGGAGTCTGGGTCCATGGACTCATCCAGCCCCAGATGGGTCTCCTGCAGACCCCCCCGCCAACGCCCACCCCAGCAAGAGTCTGGGAAGTAAGGCCAGGCAGGCCAAGCTCAAGTTAATAGCCAAGTAAGTTAATAGCAGAGTTCACCTGAAACCTTCCCCACAGGGGACTGACGGTCAGAGCCAAAGGATATATATGCCCTGTGGCTTCCAACCGTCCACTCCACGGAAAGAGGCAAGGCCGCCCTGCCTCTAGGGAACGACTTCCGCCCACACCGGGCCCCCCTGCCCGGCCCCACACACCTGGTTGGCTTGGAAATCATAGTCCAGAGAAAACTGCAATTTGCCCAGGTTCTCTGGCTCCTTCTCCTCCTCGCCTTCACCTTCTCCTTCGGTCAGGCCTGTCTCTGCATCGTCGTCATCCTAGGGGAGCTGTGGGTGGGGAGAAAGGCTTGTATAGGAGAAGGCAGCAGCTGCCCCTCACAACAACACAGAACAGCCCCAAACCCTGACTCAGAGCCCGGGGGGTGGGGGGACTCTGTGGGAAGAGCCCAGGGCTTGGGCCTGTATTGCCCGCAGCGTACAGGGCAGACCGCAGAAACCAGCATGTGAGATGGCTGAGCGGCATGTGTGTAGGGTCTCGGCTCCCCCACTGCCCATCAGGCGGACACCCAGCCCCACACTTGGAAGGCAGGACTCTGGCTTGGACAAGAACCTCTCCTCTCTGAGGGGTCAGGCACCGCGCCACAGGCCAGGTAGCTTCTTGAGGCAGGGTAATCACTTCCCTTGTAAAACCCTATCAGTCCTTTGCTCAGATTTACCCATCCTGGGCGAGACATACCAGGATTGCAGCAGTCCGGGCAGCCAGAAGCAGGGCGAGTCCAGAGAAGCAGAAAGAGAAGGGAGTGTCATATCAGAGCAAATCCTTCAGCTCAGGCCAGCCTGAAGTCATGGCTGCTCGATGAGATCAGTCTGGGTTGCGTGCACACATGCTTGCACACATATGCACACGTGCAAATACACAGGAACACGCTTACCTACACACATATGCATGCATGCACACATACACTAACACAGAGATATGTGTACACACACACACACACACACACACACACACACGCACGCACGCACGCACGCACGCACGCACGCATGCACGCACGCACGCACGCACACTGTAGGCTCCTTTGAGGCCCACCTAGGCACACAGACGCATGCGCACTCAAAGGCTATCATGACCCTTGGCTGTCTTCTGAGGTCAGTCCCTCCTTCCAGCCTTCATGATGACGCCTTGAGAAAAAACTCTTCCCAGTCGTTCCCCAAACGGACAACAGAGGACTGTGAGGAGCCCGGCTCTGGAGGGACTAATATGCCAAGGGACCTGCTGAAGCCAACCCCAACAGGCTGAGGTGGATACATCATTATCTGAGAGTGATGGATTCCATGTGGTCCTGTCTCGGTGCCTTTAAACCTACCCTGCCCCCACCCCCACCCCCACCCCCATCTCCTCTGAGTCCCCACCCCGCCCAGCCTGATATATCTGCCCTTCCATCTCTCCTGGCAGGAAAATCTGGTGTTACCTAACGGTGTCTCCCTGGTCGTCATCATGGGTGGCTAGCACTTTGTTCCAGTGGCTTCTGGGAGTCCACACATTGTCCCCTTCTTTTGCCTTTTCAAGGGTGAGCTCATGCTGAGGTGGACTTCAGTCCCTGCCCTCCAGCTTGGGGTGGCTGACCTGACACTAGAGTTGTAACCGTCGCGGCCCGTGTGGAGAGTGCAGAGGGGCAGCTCACACGAAGGAGCGGCCTGGCTGTGGAAGCCCAGAAGCCATTGCCAGGGCCCCTCCCAGCTGCTCCCCAGCGTCCTACCTGGCCCCCCTTCATGTCCTTCATGTTCATGGCGTTCTTCATGCCCTTGCCCTTCTCCTTCTTGTTCTTCTTCTTCTTACAGCAGCACTTCTTACAGATGCAGAAGCAGCAGGTGAGCAGCAGGAGACCAGCGACCACGGCCATGGCGATCAGAGCCCAGGGCGGCACTGCCCACACACAGAGCCCCAGTGTCAACCACGGCCATGGGATCAAAGCCCAGGGCGGCACTGCCCACACACAGAGCCCCAGCATCAACCACGGCCATGGTGATCAGAGCCCAGGGTGGCAATACCCACACACACAGAGCTCCAGCATCAACCATGGCCATGGGATCTGAGCCCAGGGTAGCAATACCCACACATACAGAGCCCCAGCATCAACCACGGCCATGGGATCAGAGCCCAGGGTAGCAATACCCACACACACAGAGCCCCAGCATCAACCATGGCCATGGGATCAGAGCCTAGGGCGGCACTACCCACACATACAGAGCCCCAGCATCAACCATGGCCATGATCAGAGCCCAGGGCGGCACTGCCCACACACAGAGCCCCAGAGTCAACACACTTCGCCTCACAAGCCCTCATCCCGAGCATGGACAAATGTGGGTTGGGCCTGTGACTCCCCTCTTCTCCAGCCCCACATTTTTATCCACACATCCATGAGGTATATGAATACCTCGCTCTTCGCTGCCCCCTTGTGGACACAGCCTGCTGGGTTAGCAGTCTGGAGAATGTCTGGAAGAGCAGTTGGGGCTGTTTCCAGACTTTTCCAGTCACTTGATCGTCACACAACTGGCTAACCTCATCACAACCGGGAGAAGGATGAGCCTTGTGGAGCCCGGCCCTGGGACAGTGCTCAGAGGCCTGACCCAGAGGCAAAAAAATTTCCTGAGCTCTAGTTCCCCTAGAAGGCTGGCCTTGCTTAGCCAGAGGGCCTGGGGAGCCCTTAACCGCTCCCCCTCCATGCTCCCTGCTGTCCCGAGGCCCTGGCTCCCACCAGTGTGGCTGACCCTGCAAAGGGAACCCTGGTTCCGCATGGAGAGCCTTTGCCAGGAGTTCAGAAAGCTTCGTTTTTTCTGCACTCTAAAACAAAGCAGTTTCTAAATGCTGCTGGAAACCTAAATAATGAGTCCTATCTTACAATTTTTTCGCCTTTTATTTTTATCCTTTGGTGGGATTTTAAAATTGTACTTAGATTTGAACTCACCCCTTGAAGCTTGGACCATGTAACAGTTAAGTCCCTTCGGTGACCTCACTAATTTTTAGACCATACTCCTAGCCCATGCTTTACCGGGTTCCCTGAAAAACCCAAGCTGAGCCCCAAAGAAGGAGCCCACCCCAGCCCATCCCAGCGGCACCCCACCTCCTCAGGCCCGGCCCTCCACAGGCCCCCCAGTTCTAGCCCTGCAGGCCTCCTGGCCACCAGGGTCACTCACGGGGGATCTTGTTGATCTCATTGAAGAATTTCTCCTTCAGCTTGGCGAACATGTCTTCTTGGCTCTCTCCAGTGCCCGTACCCTCTGTGGAGTTGTCGGCAGGTCTGACAGGCATCGACATCGTGGCGCTGGTGGCGGTGGCAGGAGCCACAATGGGCTCCTGGTTCCTCTTGAAGATGTTTCTCATGGTGGCAGAGTTTGCGGCTGGGGCGGGGGGAGGAAGAGAGTGGGATAAACCTCCCAGAAGCTCTGCCCGAAGGACCAGGAGACATTTCCAAACTAAAGACTATGGATGTTTCTCCCTCTGCAGCGCAGTGGGGCTGAGCGTGGAGTCGGCAAAGCGCAGACAACAGCCCCGGGTAAGGCAGTGCCGGCATGCTGTGGCTGTGGCAGGTACCTGCTGCCAGTGAGCTACCAAATCCAAACAACGATTGTTTTGTTTGTTTGTTTTTCACATTCTTCTCACTTAACAGCTGGGGAAACAGGTGCAAAGAGTTAAACATCCTGAGGCCTCTCCCAGCCTGACGGAATCTGCCTGGCTCCAGAGCCTGTAGACTGATTTCCCATGCCATCGGCATCCAGGAATGGGGGAATCTGCATCCAACCTCCCGTGGCTCTAGGAAGGAGCAAGGGGATCACTGAGGTCCCATGGGCCTCTGTGCACTGACTTCCACGGAAAGACTCTGCCTGCGCTCTGCCTGTCTCCATGACACAAGGACACCTCCCAGCCTCTTCGCTTCCGGTGCTGGCCTCCTGCACTTGCTCAGGACCGTTTCCCACATTTTCAGACCCATATCTGTAGCCCTGCTCCTCCCAGAAGTCCTAGCGCAAAGGGGTGGCATTCACTGGAGACAGGAAAACCCGAGGAGACGGGGAAGAAAGAGGCAGAGACACAAGCTGGGGCGGGGGGGGGGGTTGACCCCGTGATTCTACCAACCAGAGAACTAAGGCACGTGGCGCACTTGAGGCCAGTATTCATTCTGTCTTACATCTCGACCATACCACACGTAGGTCGGCACTCTGCTTGATTTATCTTTTCCTGTACAGTTTGTCTTCAACACTAAGCAGCTAAATAGTATCCCTCTGGACATAGTAGTACCACGGTGTGTTTATTCCATTAGTAATAGAGTTTCCACCGCTACGTGGCTGGGGTATAATTAAATGGTAGTCCTTGCTTAGCATGTGCTTGCCTAGGTTCTGTACTCTGCACTACTGCGTGCGTGTACACACACACACACACACACACACACACACACACACACACACAGGCTCTGTGTGTGTGTGTATAGTATATATATACACACATATATAATTAAATATATATATATTATATACTCACACATGCATATACATGTGCTATATATACTGTGCATATATGTGTAGCTATAACCACATATCTATACATACACATCTATAACAAGATGAGCATAAACTCTGGTCTTCATTTAAAGCTATGCTCTCACAAGCCTCCAAGCTCTACCCTGCTTTCTCAGCCCTCTGTTCTGCTGTCCCAAGGGGGGTGTGCCTCTTCAACTCACGTCCTGACACGAGGGGGGCTATGCGATATTGACATCAGCTTCTCCTGTGTCGCGTGCACACATTTCTAAGATACACATGCTTGACACCTGGCTTGTTTGCTTTTGAGACAGGACCTCACTGTACAGTACAGGCTGGTCTTGAACTCACAATCCTACTGCCTCAGTCTCCCAGGTGCTGGAATAGGTGTGCACTGGCATGTCTGCTTGTGACGACGGGCTTCTTTCCTTTAGTGCGTTAAGCTTCATCCATACTATAGCCTGTATCAGTTTTTTTCGTTTGTTTGGCTTTTGGTTTTCCGAGACAGGGTTTCTCTGTGTTGCTGTCCTGGATCTCGCTCTGTAGACCAGGCTGGCCTCGAACTCAAAGAGATCCACCTGCTTCTGCCTCCCGAGTGCTGGGACTAAAGGTGTGCGCCACCACTGCCCGCCCTGTATCAGTTCTTTATTGCTTCCTCCTGCTAAATGATATTCCACTACATAAATGACACATTTTTATTTATCTGTTCACCAGCGTGTGGACATTTCAGCTATTTCTGCTTTGGGGCTTTTCTTAAGAATTATTATGAACAAGCCGGGCGGTGGTGGCGCACGCCTTTAATCCCAGCACTCGGGAGGCAGAGGCAGGCGGATCTCTGTGAGTTCGAGGCCAGCCTGGGCTACCA